ACTATTAAAATTTCATAATTTTTTAAATACAGTGGAAACTGAATTATACGAACTAATTCAGGCAGGATCTGGTTCAGATAATCAAAAGTTCAAATAATAGAAATTGCAATTATTTTTTTTATATTTGTGGATAAAAGATTATTTTTGAATTATTTTGCAATATCCAATGGCACTTATGTCTTCTTTTAGATATTTACATTAAAAGTCACTGAGGTTCAACTGCAATAAGTTAAAAATATTAGGATTTATAATTAAACTTTTAATTGAAGACTTTAAAATGTTAAAAATGTATGCGCAACAATTATATAAATAATAATAATATACGATCAATTCTACGTCACAAGTATATTTTATTTATAGTATATGGAGTGTATAACTCCTTTTTCATTTTAAGCCAAGTATAATAAAGTAAAGAAAAGTAAAGATTTCCTTCTTCTTCTTCTTTACTTTATATTTTATTTATTCCTTTTAGAAAAAAGGTATACGTATCCTTTATTTTTCTATTCTATAGGGGGACCAAAATATTTTTTGCAAACTATCCTTATTATTTGTAAGTATGTATTAGATAAGTTTTCTAAATTCAATAGTTTTAGAGTTATAGATTTTAGAGTCTACTTTTAAAAATCCAAAAATTTGGTTACCTATAAAAAATGAAAAAATATATTTACAATAATATATTTTCATCCTAATTGAAAATGTGGACTGAAATTTAACGTGAAATTGCCTATATACTTATAATATATCTTTTTTTCATTTTTGAAAAATATAAGACTGAAGGTAGTTCTCTGGCTTCTACCTTTTGTAAAAATTTATTTTCTTCAAATTTTGAGGAAATGTTTCTTTTGGTGCCCTTTAAATGTGGTAAAAATTTCAAAACCCTTTGCGATGCTAAATTTTGACTTATTCAAGTTCAAACTTTCACTTTTCCATGCGTTTATGTTAAAAATAAAAAATGTCAACCACAATATCTCGTTTTTTGACATGGCAAAAGGTTTTGAAGTTTCTATCACATTTAAAAGGCATCCGAAGAAATATTTCCTCAAAATTTGAAGAAAATCTATCGAAAATCAATTTTTAAAAGAGTAGCAGCCGGAGAACTACCTTAAATTGAAATTTTTTTTATAGATTTTAATGAATTAGAGAAAATTTCCAAAAATTCCCGGATATTTTTTTCAATTCCCGGCAATTTCCCGGGTTTTTCCCGGTCGAACTAAATTCCCGGCAAATTCCCGGTTTTCCCGTTTTTCCTGGACGCTAGACACCCTGTAATAAGTTATTGAATTTAAGAATCTTAATTCCTATAGAAAAATAATAATGATTAAATATTTATTTAAAAGAGAAATTATTAATGTTCTTCAGGGTCAGGGAAAAAGTGAAAATTTTGTCTGGAAATCAGGGAAAAACAAAAATAAAATTTTATGGCAACCCTGTGTAATATTATTTCATATTACGATTAACATAATTTAAATTAACCTACTTGAACAAAAATATTTATTTTATTATAAAAAAAGTTAAAAATCAATATTGTAGATACCAGTTTCTTTAATCAAATGACAAATTGAAATTATTTTTTGATGGATCAAAAAATTATTTTTTTAAATTTGAGTAAAATTTTTAAATTATTGAATGTTGAAAAACAAAATATTGAAAATTCAAGGACAAAAGTACAAAATCCAGGACATTTAAGGACATATCAGGACATTTTTTCAAATTCCAGGACATTTCCAGGAATTCCAGGACTTCAAGGACCAGTAGACACCCTGAAAAAGTATGAAAAAGTAGCATTTTGGAAGAAAAAAGTTTCCTCTAAATTGAAAAAAGTAGCATATTAAAAATGAAGTAAAATTAGTTTTTTAAGTAAGAAAATTAAGTGAATATATGTTGTTGTTGAAAAAATTGAAAGAAAAAAATACTAGAATAATAGGAATTCACAAAATTTTTATTAAATTTTGATATAAACATAAAACATGAAAATATAATAGCTTTTTTGTCGATATTTTACATTAGAAAGTAAAACGCACTTGTTCATAACATTTTGCACATAATGAAATGTAATCGCTAATAATACTTAAAAAAGAGCTTTCATAGGAATTTGTTTTTTAATAACAGGCTTATAATTTTGAGAAGTAAAATTAACACCTTTTTTCTCATTATTATTTTTTAAAAAACTATCAATAACTTTTTATCAGCCATCTAATTTTTAGAAATGAAACGTAAACATTTTTTAGTAATTATTTACTAATAACAACTATCAAAATAGAAAAAATGGATTGTTTTTAGTCATATAAATTTTTTAAATTTTAGAATCCACATAGCCATAATTTTGTACAATAATAAATTATGAGTAATTTAATTCTAATAAAAAAAATATAATAAATAGTCATGTTAAATAAATATTATTTTGGATTTTAAATCAAACAATTTATATAACCAAAAGAATTAAGTTTTTATTCTTAATTAATTGATTTTTTCTATACTTGATGAAACTTTTATAAAATCAAAAAGGTATTACTATTAAATTATATGTTGAAAAATGAAAAATTGAGTTTTTAATTTTTTTAAAAAGCTTAAAGAATTATTAAAATTAGATACGAAAAATTCAAAACGTTAAAAGTTGTAATTTAATAAACATCCACTATTAGTAATTATTATAATCACGCGTTCAATAATAAATTTAATTCACTTGGCGGGCTTTTTGAAATCTACGAAATTCACCAAAAAAACTAAAATTCTTGAATTCTGTCAATTTTTTTTACCTTTTTTTGGAAAAAAGTAGCATTTAGTAGCTTTTTGACAAAATAAGTAGCAAAAAGTAGGCTTGACCAAAAAAAATGTCAAAAGAGTGGAAAAGTGTGTCACTTCGAAGCCTGCCGGTTTAAATTATTATCTAAAATTTTAACCGAAATTCATTTTTAAATCAATTTTCATTAGAAAATTCTACGAGAATTCAACTATTTAAATACAAAAATAAATAATTTATTTAATAATTGAATGTTTCCTGGAAATTAATTTTTACGAAAAATTTTATTAACAACTTTTAAAAATCATTGATTTCTTTTAAGAAATTTAATTACAATTTTATTGAAATTTATTATATTAACCCCTTCCCTGTTTGGAAAAATATTCATTTTAGTGCCCCAAAATGTCCATCGAAATCTTTAAAATTGTTCTATTACTAAAAAATAATAAACAATTTTTTTTATCACTTTTTATCACACTATAGGTATCATTGATACCTATAGTATGTGAATAATGATATAAAAGAATTTATTTTATAATTTAAATAACAAATTTCTATTTTTTGCTAAAACTTTCACGACCTAACGTTGGGTCGGAAACAGTCTGGGACATCTTTTTTTACGACCCAACGTTGGGTCGCAAACAGGCAACGGGTTAAAGAATTTTATAACAATTTTTGAAAATAATTATCGAAAACTTTTTGAAGAATTTTATTAAAATTTTTAAAAATACTTGAATTCTTCCGAAGAATTTAAATAATAATTTATGAAAATAATTGAATTCATGCAAAGAATTTTATTAAATTTTACTTAAGTAATTGAAATTTTGATAAAATTTTTTTAACATTTTTGACAAAAATTTCGCTACCTAATTATAAAGATAATTTAATTCTTGATGAGAATTTTAAATAAATTTTGATAATAATTTAATTTCTGCAAAGTTATTTTATTACTTTTCAAGAGAATTGAATTCTTGTAATGAATTTTTATATTTATCAAAATAATTGAATTTTGGAAAAGAATTTTATTAAAATTCCTTAAAAAATTTGATTTTATGGGAAGGTTTTTATTGTTTATTAAAATAATTGAATTCTTTTACAGAATTATTTAAAAATTTTTGAAAACAATTGATTTCCTGTGACGAATTAAAAGTTATTTATGAAAATAATTCAATCATTGCAACGAATTATATTATTTTATTGAATAATTGAATGTTTAGTAATTTTGAATTCTTTCGTAGAGATTTAATAAAAATTTTAAGAGTAATTCCATTTTTCAAGGACTTTATTTTAAATTGTATTAAAAATATTTAAAATTCTACCATGAATTGAATTCCTAAATGAAATTTTATTATTTATAAAAATAATTGAATGTTTTCGTAAAATTGTATCAAAAATTTTTTTCAATAACTAAATTTTTTGATAAATTTTATGAAAATAGTAAATATTGAAAATCATTGAATTACGAAAAACTTTTGAAAATAATTGAAATTTTGCAAAGAATTTTATTAAAATTTTTGAAAATAATCGAATTTTAGCCGAAAAATTTTGCTATTTTTAAGGATAATTGAATTTATTCTTGATGAGATATTCGTTAAAATTTGTAAAAATAATTGAATTTCTTTGAAGTATTTTATTACTTTTGAAAATAATTGAATTCTTGTGATGAATATTGTTATTTATAAAAATAATTGAATTTTGCTTAGAATTTATTTAAAATTCCTAAAAATAATTGAATCTTTGTGAAGAATTTTGTTATTTTTGAAAATAATAATTGCATTAAAACTTTTTTGAATTAAATTTTTTATTAAATAAGTTTTAAATTTATTCTTTATATCCAGATCGAAATGACCCAGTGTGTCTACGGAAGGTTAAAACAAACCTTGATGTGAGATTATTATGCTAGAGTTATAGTATGTAAATATTTCAAATTTAAGTGTTATTGAAACTTCCAGGAAGTAGAACAAGAAAAATATCACTTGATTCGCTGTTATGCTTAACCTAAACTGACACTTAATTTCTAAAGAGAATTTCATGGAACTAATTTATTGGTATTTTCTTTATTATTATAATAGTATTCAGTCAATGTTGTTCTAATATAAATATATTTAAATGCGTGTCTCTACATATAAATTTGAGTTACAAGTTACAAGGAAATTAAGTAGAAATGAAATTTAATAGAGATATTAATAGCCTATGTTAAGAAAATAGGTATATATTGGGCATGCCATATATTGTAAATATAAATATAAGATAAAGTTACCTGTCGCTCATGATATATAGATGCAGTCATATCAGTGGTTGTGTTAAAAACCATGATTCCTACATTACTATTACTTCGTTAAAAAATGTTTACTTATATTTTTTCAATATTTGAATAACGCGAACTCTCAAAAGTACACAAGTAATTATATGGGGAAGTAATAATCAATAAATATAACCTTGTTATGTTCGCGACTTGAGAGTTCGACACACCGGACACAGAGCTCAGCTCAATGCATTGAATGTATGATATGACATGATGAATACTATCTATACCTATAGTCATCAGGTGGTCGGAACTCGGAATTTTGAATACACTAGCGCCTCAGTCAATCTTTACGTGTAGTCGACTTCTTTCCTATACACTTAAATCTCCCAGGTGCATAAATAAACCCCAAAAATTTCATTTGTTCAAATATTCCGGTGATGTAATTTTCGTTTAATCGAATTTAAATTAACTTGAATTTCCATTTAACCGAATTTTTATTTAAAGGGACTTTCTAGTGTAGAATTGGTAAAAAAGACACTTTTTTAAAATCTTATTGTAAAAAATGTATTATAGTTATTGCAAAAATTCCTTTTGGATATTGTTACATATTACAAGGAGAGAATTAAAAAAAAAATTTGAGTATTTTTAGTTCATTTTTGCAACTGTAGGTGATGTCTTCTAAAAGATACATATATTTTATGCGGAGAGACAGTTTCCGGGCAATTTCTTTTACATAAATTAAAAATTCAAACGGGATTCAGCTTCAAATACTATTTTTTAATGTTTTGCAATTTCTCTCAAAAAATCGAGAAAATGCTGAGTTTTTTCAGTAAATTTACCCCCATAGAAAATAACAGAAGGTAAAAATATGAAATTTTAGTGGTTTATTGTTGAGTAGTTTTTTAGATAAAGAGTCGAATAGTTTTTCGTTTTTTAAAATCGGTTTAGTAAATTTCGAAAAAAGTATTTTCCCCTTTTCAAAAATGTGTTTTCGAGAAAAACTCGTTTAAAGTTTTTGTAACGTTTTGCAGTGAATCCAGACAGTAATTTTATGATACTATTCCTTTTCATCTCGTATAGGAACATTTTAAAGCAAAAAAAGAAAAATCGATTTTTATGAAATTCTTAACCAAATTTTGATTTAATTGAACTTATATTTGGGAGAATACTGTTAAATAAACTGAAATTTAAAATTCCGGAATTCCCATTTTGACTAATTTTTGTTTTCACAAATGGTCATTTGTAAGAATTGTCATAACGACGAAATGGTCATTGTTTGAAATAAACCTTTTCATCTCGAAATGGAAATGAAGAATGCACAAACTCAGTCCGCCATGACAGTCGGTCATATTCGGAAAATGACCGACCGGAAATAATAATTATTATTATTGAGACAAAATTATTCGAGATGAAATGGTCTATTGCAAATTTTAGACAAATATAAACATTCGACCTTAAAGGCCTAAGCACAACTGCTTCGCGAACGTCATTCGCGAATGCAAAACATGATTCAGAAAAGGACAGAAATATATTGATATCTTTTTCCATCTCATTCTTCACGTTCGCGAACCTATTTTGCGTTTTCCTGAACTTTTGTAAATTCGATTTAATTAAGTTCGAACTTTTAAAAATTCGATGAAATAAACATTCGAACTTTTAACAATTCGACAAGAAAGTCATTCTAACTTTTAAAATTATAACAAATGGTTATCATAACCTTGTCGACGTAAAAATCTTAACCTTGTCAAAGCGCCAAAGCGACGCGTTAAAGTATGTGAGTGAACGAGATAGTGATATGAGGTTGTTTCTTTCACTCTCATTTACTTACGCTTTAACGCGGACGCTTTGACGTTTTTACGCTACAATGGGACTCTCAAGTCAATTCATTCGTCATAGTAAAAAAGACAAGCTTTGGATTAAAAGAATAAAAATAAAAAAACATATCGTGTCCGAAGCGGACTCCGAAAATTAAATAAACTTTTAATTTAACATGTTTTTATGATAATTAATAGTATATTTTGCAACGAGAGTGGAGAACAACGGCTGAAAAACGCATTTTATTAGTTTTCAAAACTAATTATAAAATTTTTATCCACTTATTATTGCAACTGAACATATTAATATAATTAATTTTTCAACATTTTAATTTTTACTAATAAAGTAAGTTAGTTAATTAATAAGTTAGTAAATTAGTAATTAAGTTAGTAAATTAATTAGTTAGTTAATAAGTTAGTTAATAAGTTAGTTAGAAACTTAGTCAATTAGTTAATAAGTTAGTAGCTAAGATAGTAAATTAGTTAGTAAGTTAGTAGCTAAGTTAGTAAATTAATTAGTTACTTAGTAAGTTAGTTAGTAAATTAGTTAGTAAGTTAGTAGCTAAGTTAGTAAATTAATTAGTTCCCTCACAGCACGGGATATCCCGCGAATATCCCATTTCCATCCCGTGATATCCCTAGGATATCTCAGGGAGATCCCATGAGATATCTCACGGGACGGAAATTTGGATATCCCAAGGACATCCACTGGATATCCCTGGGATATCCACGGGATGTGCAAAGTTTTCTTTCGTGGGTCATCCCGTGTGGGATATCCCGCGTTGGATATGTTAGCGCATGCGCAGGAAACGAAATGCAATCGTTCCAAGTGTCAAAGAGTGTGTGTCAAAGAGCTGTGAAATTATATTTAACGCATTTAAATTAGAAAAAGTTTGTTTAAATATTTGTTGCATTAAATTAACGAAAGTGGAAAATAAATATATTTATAAATTCAGCTTGAAGTGTACGATTTTTTAGTTACTTTTTTGGTAGATGATATATTAAATTATTCAAATATTTATTCTAACTACATTCTAAACAAATACTGCATGAATTACTAGATTAATTACTGAAAATCCAGTATATTTTTTCCTTCAAACAAGAAGAAATAAAATTCTATATGTATGTACTCATATAATCTTACACGCGCAGCCGTCGACCTACCCAGCTGTTGAGTGTCATGGCGACCATGGCGTCGCGTCATTAGATCAGAAGCGTGTGTTTTGCAGTGTGTGATTATAAGTGTTGCTGTTTAATATGTTTAACTTTCACATTTTTTTAGTTTCTTGTAAATATCTTTAACCAATAAATATTTATCAGTAATAGACAAAATGAATTGACCAAAATTAGTTTAAACCCACACACAATAAATGTTTAGCGTTAAAAAGACATTTTATTGAATTCAACTAATGTTTATTAAATCACAAAAAAATAACTTTGATATATTAGTCAAATAATCTTTTATTTTTAAAATAATTTTTTTCTCATTCTGGTTATAATTTAATAATGGTTTTTCAACTCTTTAAAGCTCTAATTATTTTTCAACATATTACTATATTTCTCACGTGCCATATCCCGTGTGGAGAATATTTGGATATCCCGCGCGAGTCTCCCATGGGATGGAAATTTGGATATCTCTGAGATGTCACAAATATCCCTGGGATATCCCAATATCCCGCGAGATATCTCTAGGATATCCCTGGGATATCTTTTTGCTGAGAGGGTTACTTAGTAAGTTAGTTAGTAAATTAGTAATTAAGTTAGTAAATTAATTAGTTAGTAAGTTAGTTAGTAAGTTAGTAAGTTAGTTAGTAACTAAGTTAGTAAATTAGTAACTAATTTATTAAATTAGTTAGTTTGCTAGTTAGTAACTATGTTATTTTGTTAATTAGTTAGCTACTAAGTTAGTCAGTAAGTTAGTTAGTAACTAAATTATTAAGATAGTTAAACTATGTTAGTAAGTTAGTTAGTAACTAGTATTGTATAAAGCCCTAAGCACAACTACTTCGCGAACGCAAAGCACACTGAGAGAAAAGAAGAGGTACACTGCTGTTCATTTGGAGGTTGTGTATTGCAATTCAAATGAACAGCAGTGTACCTTCTTTTCTCTCAGTGCAGTTGTGCTTAGGCCTTTAGTAACTGTGTTTTCAATAAAATAACCAAAACCAATAAAATAACAATACAATAATTAGTATTTATTATCTAATTTTATGTATGTTTGACCTTTCAATTTAGTCAAATAGATAAAAAGTTGTGAGTTTTTGAATTTCACGGTACATGCGGAAGGGTTGAGAATTCAACTCTTTGCAACTAAAAAGGGGTGGTGGTAAAAAAGCTAGACAGTTCACAAAAAATGCCTCATATGTGAATAGTAGTAAGAATTTTCAATAAAAATACTTAAGAAAGAAGGTTTAAAATTAAAATTTGCTTTAATTTCAAATTATTTTTAAATATTGAAAAGGAATATATAAGGTTTAGTTACGTAAAAATTAAAAATTGCAATTTCTCATTATTATTAATTAGTATCGCCAAACCAATGAATGAATTATCAAATTAAACAATAAATATTATGTACATACTATAGGAGATAATTAGAAAAATTAGATTTTTTGTGAGTATGACGACGTTCTAAATTCACGTTTTCATTGAAAATGAACCTTTAACGCTTTCCGTTTGAAAACGTCATTGTTGTTGTAAACTCATTGTGGTTAGACCTTTAGTCGAGTTGAATCCAGGCATTTTGAACTGGCCTTTAACCACAAAAAGTTAACCTATCTATAGTAAGTGAAAACCTTGAGATATTGAATTGAATTGTTGTTTGTTGACATTTAGAATAGCCGGTATTTCCAAAATCATTTAATTGACAAAACTTTTTTGCATTTTACTTCATTGATTAATATTTTTCCAGACTGTATTCGAATTATTCACTGCGTCCAAATATTAATCTATAAATGGAAAGAAGAATACCTTAATTTGCACTATTTAATGAGGAGTTTCGCCTTAATAAAATTTCTACTGTTACTAAAATAAAGTGCAACCTATTGACAAGTGGAAAATATTTTATATTTTACAATATTATCAATAAAAATGACGGAAATATCTTCAGCAGAAAAAGTATGTATTCTTTATTATTATAATTACCTAATATAGAAAAAAATCATTGTCACAGAATGTTTTATTCTTAGTTTTCTAAATGTAAAAATGAAAAAATCAATTGATAAAAAAGACTGCGTAAATCAATGTTTTCATGAAGAACTCATGTCTCACAATTTACTGCAAGTTTGCTGCAAGATTGTTATGTAAGATTATGAAATCTTTATGATATTTTAAGGAAAAACTTATTTTTAAATTTTCCTTAATCAATTAGTTATTTCACTTGCAACTATTTATACTACGATGTTGCCAACATTCTAAAAACATAGTCTATTGAATCAATCATTAACGCCAGAGTTGATTATATTCAAATTGTAGGCGAATAATAAAAAGAATATGAATTTACAATAATCAACAAAATGAATTAAATAATAGAGTTAAAATTATCGATCACCTCGAGTCAGGTTGAGAAAAAATATAACGATTTTTATATCTTTTTATGTTTTAACGGGCGCAACCGTCCTCATCAGAAAGTAAAATTTTATTATTATAAATAAATAAATAATTACTTTAAAGAATACATTTTACACATGAGTAAGTAATTAAAAAAAATTTTTTTACCAGTAAAAATTTATAACGATGATAAAAACAAAATACTGAACATTTAAAAGTTTGTAAATCTTTAAACGTTCTGATCAACGCGAATTGATACTTGACACTAATAAAATATAAAAATAAATTATAAAGTTTGTCAGTGATAAACATTTTAAATGTTGACCATTTGAATAAAAGACTTGTAAATATATAACTCTCCAACATGAGGTTCATTATTTACATTAATTTTTTATGTATTGGAGCGATTCCATGTCAAGTGATCAAGGTGGACAAAAATTTTTCTTCATCTTGCCTAAACTTGGGGCTTTTGTAGTACTAGTGGATAGTGATTTTTGGTAAAAATAATTTTTTATCTAGTCCAATATTTTCCTAGGGGGAGGGGGTGAAAGTTTTGGTGTTTTCGGTACAATATGCTTATTTTGATAATTTTTTATTCTTAAACAATTAAAAAGAAAGCTTAAATTATCAACTTTAATGCCTAGAATGGAAAGATGATTGACAATCACGGGGAATCTATTTTCATTAAGAGAGATATTTCGAAGATCGTACTACCGAAACAAATTCATTTTACGTAGACAAAATATTTGTTTTGTGAACTATTATTTGTGTTGTCTTTAAAGACAGAAGACCCCATTCCGCATTGAGGCATTTTCTAGAATAGATTAAAACATTTAAAATACTGCACCAAACATTGATAATTTTTCTGATGATACTTATTTTTTATATTGTTGCATATTTATTCTATAAATTTTAATTCTTTATTTTAGGAGAAATACACGAAGCATTTAAAGAGGCAAATGGATGGTTGGCGAGAAATTATTATACCTATAAATTCTATTTTACTGTGGGAACGTTCTTGGCATCCAGGATTTCTTTTTGGACTATCCTCAATTATATTTTTGTAAGCCATGAGATAGTTACTAATTATTATTAATATTATTTAATAAAAAATTACGTGATCCTACAACAAGATAGCTATAAAATATTTACTTTTTCACTTAATTAATTAAGAAAGAAGTTTATGTTCACTTTAAACAAAATAGAAAGCATTTATTTAAGTCTAGTAGAGATGAGAAAATTGTTTTTTTTTCTATAGTGTTTTATATAAAAAAAACAGTATATCAAAGGATTTGCCAAAAACAAATTTTTTGTTATTATTATAAACAATTAAAGTTTTTAGACACTTTTTTTTAAAAATTAATTAAAAAGAAACTTGTTACCCGATTTTAATAATCCAAGAGGCATTCTTTTTTATTTGAGTCAAAGTTTTGAATAACATTTTTTTCGTAAAAAGATATTGAAATTTAATAAATAAACAAACTATTCATTTATAACAAATTAGCAAAAAACCATGTTTGCAATCGAATTTTAAAATTAAAAAAATAGTACTTATTCTTTGATTACCACTGAGTAATATTCCGTTGATAAAAAAAATGGCACGGCTTGGACAACTGACTTATTTAAACATTGTTTATCCCGAGTAGGACGGGATTTGCATGTAACGTCACGCGCAGCGGTCCTTTGACGCGGGAATATAAAAGAATATCAGAGGATAGGAATATCAAAAAACCTATTAAAATAATGTTTAATTGTTTCTTATGGATGAAAAAACTATAACAATTTATTTAATTGTTTAAACAATTAATATTGTTGTTATTTTTTCATAAACAGTAGTTAGGGCTAGAAATTTCTAGTCTTTTCTCAATTGCTCAATTTTTCAATGAGTAAAACATCTACTAATGACAAAAAATTAATTAATTAAACATTGTTTAAACAATTAATTGTTGTTATTTTTTCATAAACTTTACTTAGGGTTAGAAATTTCGTTTTTTTCAATCGTGCAATTTTTTATGAAGAAAAATCTACTGATGATAAAAAATAAAAAATTATTTATGCATAATATAAAAAAAAACTAGTAATTTCTAACCCTATTTGCAGTTTATGAAAAAAACAACAATAATTAATTGTTTAAACAATTTAATAAATAAGTAAAGTTTATGAAAAAATATTAATTAATTGTTTAAACAATGTTTAATTAATTAATTTTTTATCATAACTAACTAAAAAAAAAAAACCTAACTAACTACTGTTTTTTTTTTTTTTTTTTTTTCCCTAACTACTGTTTATGAAAAAATAACAACAATATTAATTGTTTAAACAATTTAATAAATTGTTATAGTTTTTTTTGTCCATAAGAAACCTTTAAACATTATTTTAATAGGTTTTTTTTTATTTATTTATTTTTATTTATTTTTTTATTTTAAAATTCGATTGCGAACATGGTTTTATGCTAATTTGTTATAAATAAATAATTTGTTTGTTTATTAAATTTCAATATTTTTTTTACGAAAAAAATTTTATTTAAAACTTTGACTCAAATAAAAAATTATGCCTCTTGGATCATTAAAATCGGTTAACAAGTTTCTTTTTAATTAATTTAAAAAAAAAGTATCTAAAATCTTTAATTGTTTATAATAATAACAAAAAATTTTTTTTTGGCATATCCTTTGATATACTGTTTTTTTTATGTAAAACACTATAGAAAAACAACATTTTGGCGAAAATTTGAAATAAATATAACTTTTTAACTTGATAATATAAATAGTAAATAATAAAGTTATTAAATAGGGAACAGTAGAGAAGCAAAAGTAACCACTGAGTGAAGAATCACTCATTAACTATATAACTATAATAATCTTTGTATTTCATTCTTTCATTTTTTTCTGTTTTTATATGCTTTTTATAACAGATTTCGTTTGACTGATCTAAATTATGGAAATTTTTTTGTTTTTTATTTATAAAAAATATTAGAAAATTGTTAAAAAATTATAATTAAGAAATAAGAAATATACCCATTTTATGCATAATTTTTATTTCTCAATAACAATATTTTTTACAATCTCATTCTTTTCTTTGGGGAAAAAATATTACGTGTTCCCGTTTCTTAATATTTTTGAAGAAAATTCTCAATTTTCATAAGGAAATAATCTGCATCATTTCTATTTTTTAATTACAATTTCTTTAATAAAATTCAAAATTTTTTTTATAATAAAGGAAAAAATGTTTATAAATTCTATTTGTTAATTATAAATTTTCATTGAAAATGAAATAGAAACTTTTAAAATGTTTAGAAAATAAAGGAAAAGATTTTGCAAAAAAAAAATGGTTTTTTTAAAAAAAATTTTTTTTTGTAAATTTTTAAAATTTTCTGTTACATTTATTTACGAATTTCTTTAATTGTAAAATTATTCGAAAACATCAATAAATTCTTTTTTACATAAATATTTAATTATAATTATTTTCCACAGGAATTAAGATTTTTAAAAAATTTCAAATTAAAACCTTTATGAAATTCGAAAACTTATAAGAAAATTATTATGAAACGTGAAAATATCGATCACTCCTAGTCTTCGACTCAGAGTGATTGCTATCTTCATGTTTTGCAATAATTTAAATTTCCATAAAATTTAAAAAAAATTTATTTATATTATTTACAAAAATTTTAATAAAAACCTTTGAAAGAATTTAATTATTTTCATAAATAATAAAATTTTTCATAAGATTTCAATTAATTTTAATACAATTTTAAATAAATTCCTCGAAAAATGTCATTATTTTCCAAAATTTTCTGCAAGAATTCAATTACATTTCACAAATGAAATTCTTTTCTGAAATTCAAATACCTATTTTCAATATTTAAAAATTTAAAAAAAAAATTCAATTATTAAAAATAAAATTTAATAAAATTTCACACACAAATTTAATTTTTTTCATAATTAAATAATAACATATTTTACAGGATTTCAATTACTCAAAACAATGTAATTTAAAATAAAATTCAATTAAACTTTTTCAAGAAAAATTAATTCTACAGAATTGTAAATTAAAAGTATAAAAAATTCAAATTTTTAAAGATTTTAATTTGAAACCTTTTCAATATTCAATTATTTCTAAAAATTCATCCTATAATGCTTCTAATATTCAATTAATTTTTAAAATTTTAACTGAAATTCATTTTTAAATCAATTTTTATTAGAAAAATCTACGAGAATTCAATTATTTAAATACGAAAGTAAATAATTTATTGAATAATTGAATGTTTCTTAAAATTTAATTCTTATAACGAATTTTATCAACTAATTTTTAAATAATTGAATTCTTTTGACGAATTTTAATCAAATTTTTAAGAATAATTACATTTTTCGAGGAATCTGATAACAATTGTATTAAAAATAATTGAAATTGTCAATGAGTTTTATTATGTATAAGGGCAATTCCACGTGCGATTTAAGTCGACCTCTTAAAATCGACCAAAAATATTTTTTTTCTATTTTGTATCGAAAAAAACAGATACGTATTTTTTTACTTTTGTTTAATTGTCCAAATTTTCGGGTTATGAATTTTTGGACTTTTAATAATTGTAGACCTATATTCAGTAGCTTATAAGTCCGAAAATATTGAGTTAAGGAAAAAGTTGTCAAAGAATGAAAGTTTTAGTTTGCTTTCGACTTTTAAGAAATGTAAACAAAAAATTTTTTTTAAAAATTTTTTATTTAAAAATTTTTTTTTTATAAACAAATTATTTTTTTAAACTTTGGGCCAAATTTTTTTTTATTTTTTTAAAATTTATTTATACTTTATAGTATGGAGAAGATTTTCCAAATAGTCCCGAAATGGGCCTGATGTGTTAAATGAGTTTTAAAACATTTTCAAAAATCACCTGCAAGCATCACAGTAAGATTTTTTTACAATTAACTTTTTAAAACTACCTACAGCGTAGATCCTTTAATTTAAAACAAAGAACACTCAAAAAGATTAAAAATTATACGCTGTAGACAGTTTTAAAAAGTTAATTGTAAAAAAATCCCACTGTGATGCTTGCAAGTGATTTTTGAAAATGTTTTAAAACTCATTTAACACATTAGGCCCATTTCTGGACTTTTTGGAAAGTCTTCTCTATATTATAAGGTATAAATAAATTTAAAAAAAAAAAAAAAAATCCGGCCTAAAGTTAGAAAAAATATTAATTTGTTTATAAAAAAAAATTTTTTTCAATAAAAATTTAAAAAAAAAATTTTTTGTTTACATTTCTTAAAAGTCGAAAGAAAACTGAAACTTTCATTCTTTGACAACTTTTTCCTAAACTCAATATTTTTGGACTTATAAGCTACTGAATATAGGTCTAAAATTAAAAGTCCAAAATTTCTAAAATTCATAACTCGAAAGTTTGGACAATTAAACAAAAATAAAAAATACGTATCTGGTTTTTTTCGATACAGAATAAAAAAAAATATTTTTGGCCGATTTTAAGAAGTCGACTTAAATCTCACCCATAAAAATAAATGAATTCCTAAAAAAATTTTATTTTTTATGAAAATAATTAAATTATTGCGAAGAAATTTATAAAAAGTTTGTAAATAGTTGAATTCCTGTAAATTTTTTATTATTGATGTAAAAAATTAAATGCTTGCATAGAATGTTATGAAATTTTTTTTTAAATAATAAAGTTCTCTTGGAAAAGTTTATTAAAATAGTAAATATGGAAAATGATTGAATTAAGGAAAATTTGTGAAAATAATTGAAATTAGAACAAGAATTTTATTGATATTTTTTTAAATAATTGAACTTATTGGAGAAAAATTTTGTTATATATAAAGATAATAATTGGGATTTTGACGATTATTTTTTTGAAATTTTGAACATATTTGAATTTTGTCAGAAGAATTTTATTACATTTGAAAATAATTGAATTTCTGCAATTATTTGCAATTTCTCCAAAGTTGAATTTTTTAAAATGGTTTGAACTAATATTCTCCTATAAATCCATTTTTTAAATAATTTTAAATACATATGGGGCATTCCACGCCAAATCGGAAATTATTTTGCTTTTGCATCTCAAATTTTTTTTAAAACATTTTTTTTCTTTTAGTACTCTTTGAAATGAGTTACCTAGATTTTTTTCAAATTTTTTCATAAAGCGGTTCAGGAGATACAGATTTTTGAAAAATGACATCTTTTACGTACATTTTTTTAAATGCTTATAACTCGGTCAAAAATTGATCAAATTAGACGTATTTAAAATGAAAAGTTTTGTTTTTAGTAAAAATATTTTTAAAAAATTTAAAAATAATTTACGATAAGATTTTAAAATTTTTAAAATAAAATTTCATTTTTAACAATGTATGTATCGATCAATTTTTTTCAAAATTTTTTGTAAGAAACTAGCACTTCTTTAACAATTTTTAAGCCTTGTCCGGTCGAGGGCAAACGATGGGATCTATTTATTTAAAAAATTTTAATTTTTATATACACAGTGAAAACGGTAGGCCTAACTTGTCATTTGAACAAATCACAATTTTACACAGAAAGAAGGTTAATTTGGAGAGACTCAGTCTGAAAACACATTTGCTGTGAAAAATTTGTGTGATTTTGTCAAATGACAAGTTACTCATTTGGCCACCACTGCGTATATAAAAATTAAAAATTTCAAAATAAATAGATCCCATCGTTTGCCCACGATCGGATAAGGCTTAAAAATTGTTAATTTAGTGATAGTTTCTTACAAAAAATTTTGAAAAAAATTGATCGATACATACATTGTTAAAAATGAAATATTATTTTAAAAATTTTAAAATCTTATCGTAAATTATTTAAAAAATTTTCATAAATATTTTTATTAAAAACTACGCGTGAAAACAAAACTTTTCATTATAAAAACGTCCAATTTGATCAATTTTTGACCGAGTTATAAGCATTTAAAAAAAATGTACGTAAAAAACGTCATTTTTAAAAAATCTGTATCTCCTGAACCGCTTTATGAAAAAATTTGCAAAAAATCAAGGTAGCTCATTTCAAAGAGTACTAAAAGAAAAAAATGTTTTAAAAAAAATTTGAGATGCAAAAGCAAAATAATTTCCGATTTGGCGTGGAATGCCCCATATATTGAATATTTTATTTATTTTATTTTTAATATATACACGGGCAATGCCCTGTATTACAATGTTGAAAGAAATACTTAAACTACAAAAAAAGGAAATAAAAAAAAAGAAAAAAGAATATTATTTGAATTATTAAAATTTTTTCAAAAATCTAAGCCATTAAAATTTATATTTGAATTTATTCAAAATTGAAATTTTATAAAATTTCAAATTAAAACCGTTTGAAGTCAATTTATTTTTGAAAATTGTAAACGTGACTTTTTTGAAATTGAATTGATTTTGAAATATTTAAGTAAAATTATTAATTAAATAATTTCAAAGTAATTATTTTATGATAGTTCTTTAAGAATTAAGTTATTTAAAAATAAACTATTGTCAGAAATAGAAAAATTTGAAGGTTTTGTACTAAAATTCGTAGGAATTTTATAGTTTATCAACCAAACAAAAAAAAAAACACAAAAATTCAGAATTTTCTTACGAATTTAAAAAATTTAATTTTTTGTCAGTGCTTTTAATAAAAATCTCTGATTTTTCCCTGAATTCCCTGTCTCAGAATACATGATTATTATAGTTATAATATTATTAAAACTGTATTCCAATTCATATTTTATTTTTGTGAAAAAAAATTTGAATTAAATATTTTTAAATTCCATTCTTTTTAAATTTGCTAATTTTATTTAAAAAAGTGAGTAAGAATTTAGCCTTGCGAATTGTTGCTAGTTTAGTAATAAGTTAGATATGGAAAATAATATTTTGTTTTACATGCAGGTCAATATGGATTCTAGAACCTGCAGTACTTACATTGATATCAATTAGCTTACTTATGGGAGCCCTTATTGACTATATCGTATTTACCATATCGCCGTCATTTTTTTCTACAAATAGTTGGACTGGACAAAAGGAAAGAAAATTGGATGAGATTTGTCAAAATTTATCTGTCACTATTTTAGGACTGCAAAGCACTTGGAAATCTCTCCTTCAGATGCGAAACAACCGTCCTAATTTTGTAAGATTTTTATATATTGTAAAAAATTGTATGCTTTTTATCCTATAGGAAGGTTGCTTTTTAAAGTTCGGTTTGAGTATTAGTAGCTACTGTTAATAAAAGTTTAAAGTTTACAAAAGAATTAGCTTTAACTACCACTACATTTCAAATTAACTTGCTTATTTATTCTAAGTAGTATTTTATAAGCAGAAAGCATAAATGTTTTTATTATTCTAAATAATTTATATCGAAGCAAATATGTTATAATTCTTTGTTTTTCATTTAGTATTATGGATCATTAATAACAATTTTATTGTTCATCTCATGGATCGGAAACACAATAAATAATCTGCTTCTCTTCTACATAATAGGTAATGTATTGTTATATTTTATTTCTATTTTATTTATTATACTTTATACTATAGAAAGATCTTTTATATTTTTTTGCAATTAACGGTTATATTATGAAATAAAAAAGAAGTATCATATTTTTTTGTTTTTTCAGTAACAATCCTACTTTTATCTCCTGGTTTAAAGCATGAGCATCGAGCACAATCTGTGATTAAGTCAATTTATAATCAAGTACTTCATCGCAAAACGTCTTAAACTAAATCCTCTTATTAATTCTGTTTAACTATAAGAGAACACAGTGTTAAGAAAATTACAAGAACAAAAACGAGATATTGGTAAAAGTAATTTATAACATGTATTACTGTATGTAAATATGTTTTGAAAAAAGAATCCACTTATAATGTTAAAAGTGAGTCATTTTTGTGGTAAACTTCGGCTGAAATTACTTATTTTACTTTAAAGCTTATTTATATAAATTTATTTTTAAATTAAAAAGTCAAATCAAAATCTAAAGTAGTTAGCTTAAAGTAAATCTATTCAAAAAATTATAAAAACCACGATAGACATAGGGTCTTTCAAAATTGTCTGAAATTAAAAACCAAAGTGTTATACCGCTAGTAAAAATAATTTTTACAAACTGTATATGTGAGTAGACATAGCTTATAAATGTAAGCGTGAAAATATTTAAACTAAAAGTTTTGAAAAATAAAATTTTTCTTCCAAAATTTGGTTATCTTTTCTTTATTTTAAAACACTTTAAATTTACACTTTACTTTAGTCACCCTCTCTTAAAAAATAGAGTTCGAATGTCTCAAAATAACAAATCTTAATTTGTTAATAAAACCACTTAATCGGAATTGAATATTTTAACTAATTAATACGTTAAAACTCCTCTATACCCCCTTCACAGGCTTCCGGAAGAACAAAATAGTTGATTCGCAAAGTTATTAAAATATGATACACCTCCACAAAAAGTATCATGTACTTTTGACCGAAATACCCTTCAGTCATGTACTTTGGTGCCTTGTAACCGATTCTGAAGTCCGTTTTGCTTCATCAGGTCAAGATTTTTTCCAAAACTCAAAATATATGTCAAACATTTGGAAGTATAAGAATTTTTTAGAAATTGATGGACTTTTATAAAACTTGATATATATTGATTTTCGGGGTCGCTCATTACTAATTTGATGTATGATTTAAAAAAATTTTAATAGCGAATCCAATGAGAGATTTTAAACACTCAAAATGGTAGATCACAAACATATTTTTTTAAAAATGTTAGAATTTGAAAAAATTTAATAACAGTGTGTTTTTGAATTCCTGAGTGTGAATCCAAAGTCAGGTTATTAAATTTTTAAATATCACATACATGATATTATGTATAATACAAGCTTCTATTTGTTAACTTACATAAAACTAAAAGTCAAAGTGAATGATGACGTTTTGGATGGGCCACAAATTCAAAGAATAGGGTATTTGATTTATTTATTTATACACTCATCATTTTTCTTAATACCAGCGTTACATGTTCCCCAGTGAAAATTTTTCTTACAAATAATACCTTAAAACTATATACTAATATTAACTATATACTTAATATATATGATGCTTCTGCAGAACGACTTTAACCCTTTAAGGACCAAATGTACAAAAATTTTATCCGAACTTTGGGAGCAATTTTTAGTATGAAAACGGATTGCTAAAAATTTTGCAATAGACATTTCTTAAAGCTCAGGAACCGCTCTTTCGAATGCTGCAATAACAAATATTGAAAATTTATAAATAAACAAATTACATACAGTTATTTAAAAAAAACACAATTTTTGAAAGATTTTTTTTGAAAATCAAATTTTTTTTATTATTTATGGCGAAGGAATACGTCTCAAAGGTAAAAATATCGCGTCAAAAATGTCTAACCTAAAATGTTGTAAAATAAAAATTAGAAAAAAACAAAATGGCGGATCAAAAATGGCGTTCAAAGTTGACTTTTTAATAAATAATATACAGCAAGTGCACATTTTTTTAAAAACCTCACAGATTCGCTTGAAACTGGTTACTCGGGGGTTTTTGGGGTCGCTGATTACAAATATGATAATAGTTTTTAAAAGTTCAAAATGGCGAATCCAATATGGCGGACACTTTTTTCAAAATTTCATCGGATTCGCTTGAAACTGGTTACTCGGGGGTTTTTAAGGTCGCTGATTACGAATATGATAATAGTTTTCAAAAATTCAAAATGTCGAATCCAATATGGCGGTCACTTTTCAAAACTTCATCAGATTCGCTTGAAAATAATTACTCGGGGGTTCTTGTGATCTCTAATTACGAATATGATAGTAGTTTTCAAAAAATAAAAATTTCGGAGCATATACATTAATTTTTGTAATGTTTTACAGTAGTAACTTCAGAATTGCGTTAACTTTATTTTGTTGTAAAATATTTCAATTTTTATTAATTAATTATTTAATAATTCGAAAAAGGCGTCATTTTTTCGTTTTAGATATTGAAAGTACACATCTTAAGCTTTTTTTTGGTACAAGAAAAAGAAAAAAAGGGTCCTTCTTAAAAGAAAAATCAAAAAAAAAATTTATACCAAAAAAATATAGGTATATATTACTTGGTGGTTAATTAGTCATACATATTACTAACTACTGTGAAAATATTAGCCCGATCCAACAACTTGCAATTTTGACTTTGGTACACTCGATAAAATTTGCCCCTTAAACATAATTAATCTTTAATTATGAGGCTTCAAAGACAGACAAAACTCGATAATAACAAAGAACAGTTACTATTAGTAATATTATTATTAAGTTTAATATTACTATATTTTACACAAATTATTTGAAAGCAAAAAAGGGTTTAAATTTTTATGATTTCTAACCTGCATAATGTACATGCTCCGAGATTTAATTTTTTAAAATCTACTATCATATTCAAAATCAGAGACCCCAAGAACCCCTCCTAATCAGTTTCAAGTGAATCCGATGAACTTTTAGAAAAAGTATCCGCCATTTTGAATTAGCTATTTTGAATTTTTGAAAACTACTATCATATTCGTAATTAGAGACCCCAAGAACCCCCGAGTAACCAGTTTCAAGCAAATCCGATGAAATTTTGAAAAAATGTCCGCCATATTGTATTCGCCATTTTGAATTTTTAAAAACTATTATCATATTCGTCATCAGCGACCCCAAAAACCCCCGAGTAACCAGTTTTAAGCAAATCCGATAAAGTTTTGAAAAATGTCCGCCATATTGGATTCGCCATTTTGAATTTTTGAAAACTATTATCATATTCGTAATCAGCGACCTTAAAAACCCCCGAGTAACCAGTTTCAAGCGAATCCGATGAAATTTTGAAAAAAGTGTCCGCCATATTGGATTCGCCATTTTGAATTTTGAAAAACTATTATCATATTTGTAATCAGCGACCCCAAAAACTCCCGAGTAACCAGTTTCAAGCGAATCTGTGAGGTTTTTAAAAAAATGTGCACTTGCTGTATATTATTTATTAAAAAGTCAACTTTGAACGCCATTTTTGATCCGCCATTTTGTTTTTTTCTAATTTTTATTTTACAACATTTTAGGTTAGACATTTTTGACGCGATATTTTTACCTTTGAGACGTATTCCTTCGCCATAAATAATAAAAAAAATTTGATTTTCAAAAAAAATCTTTCAAAAATTGTGTTTTTTTTAAATAACTGTATGTAATTTGTTTATTTATAAATTTTCAATATTTGTTATTGCAGCATTCGAAAGAGCGGTTCCTGTGCTTTAAGAGATGTCTATTGAAAAATTTTTAGCAATCCGTTTTCATAATAAAAATTGCTCCCAAAGTTCGAATAAAATTTTTGTACAATTGGTTCTTAAAGGGTTAAATTAAGAATCTTCTTTCTCATTTGTTTAGAAAACCCGTCTAATTGGTTTTTTATCACAGGAGAAGGAAACTGTACACAACCTCCTCTGTGTACAACCAGTTTACCGACAACTGTGTTGTTGAAGCCAGAATTTAATAAAGTGGAATAATAATGTTATTATTATAGTTGTATTTATTTATACAGACTTTTTATACAAAAGATAGAACTTGTGAACAAAGAACGAGTACGATAACGAGCAAAGACGCAGTGTAATAGAAGCCGGAAACCGGAAATATAGACCTTCACACATTAGTCCAAAAAATTATGTATGTGTCTCTTTATAATTTAAAAATTAAGCTTGCACATAATAATAAAAACAATCAAAAAACAACACTCTCCCTTAAGCTTAAATTTATAGTCCAAAACAAATTCACAAATTAACGTTCACTTTTTGTAGTCCAAACTCCGCAACACGTCTTCTGTGATTACTCGTTGACAATCCCTTTGTACACGGAAAAAAAAAGTTCACGAATCTCTCGTGAACTAGTATATCACTTTTGGATGGGACACAAAATTTCAAAATTTTCATTCACTTTTGATTAGAAATGGCGAACGTCAACGAAAAACTGAAACAAAGTTAATGAATTTTTGATGAACTGTTAAGGAAGAGTAGTTCGTCAAAAGTAGAGGTACAAGTTCACGAAAAAATCGTGAACTCGCGAGTGTCAGTAGTATGCGCAGTTCGTAATGCGCATCAAATATGGCTGATCAAGCATTCATCATTCAGTCGGTGTCATCGGTGTTTACATTCGGGAAAATTCTTTGATGAAAGTTATTATTTAGAATCAGTGTTTTTTATTACTTAGTGAATATTTTTGTTTGCTAATTTCCTTTGTGAAACAAATAATTCATAAAATGAATTAAAAGTTACGATAAGGGACTTTTTCTACTTTGCACGGTCCTGAGTTTTACAGCAGACAAAGCTAATCGTTTCGTTTGTCGAAGGACAGTATGGAAGTTTTAGTTACTCCAAATATGTATATAGACACGAGTCACGAATATATATATATAAATCGTGGGTGTGAGAAGGTATATGAGGAAACACAGGCGTAATTATATATGAACTCCAAGTTGTATAATATAACTGATCCAAACTTTATATTCTTATATTTTTATACAATATTATCACAGAATTTATATTATTCTATACACACCATACCTCTCTCTACCGGGTCGGAGAGCATTCTTCTTCTTCTAACCTAACCTCGGGGTTGAGCGAAGGAGATCTCCCCCAGACTACAGGTACGTGTCATGAGGGGGCAACTCCCCACACACTCCCCCCCGAGTGACAACGAGATTCTTGCGAGTAGGGAACGATTATTTTCAATTGTGGAGTGCAATTATGTTCTTTCTTTTTCTTTTTCTTTAAAATATTTTATTTCACTTTATTATTATTTTTTTTTTTTTAAACAAAATGAAACAAAAAATTTTTTTTTTTTAATTGAAATTATTATTCTGACTCGAGTGTTATCAAGATTATTGTTAATATTAACATTGTTCTTATTTTTTTTAAAATCAACATTTATGCTTATTGCGAATTATCTTTTTACACTAAGTAACATTTTTTAATTTACATTTGCACTTCTTCGAAGTATTACAGGAATGTGTTTAGTGCGTTTCGTATTTTGTTGAGATGTACTTTTCGATTTACTCGTGCTACTCGTTTCACTGTTCCTTGTTCGCCCACTCGCAGTGCTTGTTTTGTCGAATCTAACGCTTTTCCCTAGTCGTTCGTCCGTTTGTATTTTAATTTGTTTAGTTATAGTCTGATTGAAAGGGATTGCGTTATTTTCGTCATTTACCG